ACAAAAACAAAAGTTAGACTTGCACTTTGACAGCAACCACAGCAGCATTTAACGACTGGACTATTAGATCACTCATTGTCTTTTTATAACACGACACACAACACATATACATGTGAGTAAATTTGTGTTTAATTGTGAACACAGAATTGTGTCTGTCTGTATGTAATTCTTTTCAATTGAAACGCTAAGAAATATCTAGACTTTACAGCCCAGACAGCTCAACAACCATTAAATACCATGGAATGCGGTCCACAATACAGGTCAACACAAATGTCATTTGTGTTTGAAGCAAAGACTGGCAACTTAGGTTCATGTCCTCAATACCTTTGATATGCAAATTAGCTTTCCACAATTCATACACTGTGCGAGCGAAATCGTCAATACCGCCACCATTTTGAGCTCAATTCATGGCAACCGTATTAGGCTACTGGTGTTTATGGTTGTTTTATGAATCCAACATGAACCCATATCTCATGCATGAACAATATATTTTACTCGTTAATATAACTTTGTAGTTTTTAAAACGTAGAATTATCAACTTAATTTTTTACGTACATAATCTACGGTTAATATTTTAGTATTTTACATCCCGTAATGCAGATAAGCAGTACTAATGTAAAACATTTTATGATTAAGAGACGTGATTGCGTGTTGTGTTATATGATATTACGTGATATTGATGTTACATTATACAAATACTCACCCCCAAAAGAGGTAGGGTATACAGTTTTAGCGACCAGAAGAGGTCATTTTCAACCAAGACGAAGGGAAATCTAGACTTTTGTAAATATATCATATGATATTTAGTCTTATAGATATTCGATTCGTGGTTCATGGACTTTGTTGTGGGAAGGCATCACTGTGTTTAATTGAGTTACATATTATTCTGTGTTTTGTCAGTATATCTACATATTATATATAGTGTATTTGTTGAAGGAGTATAGTTTCAGCACCAAGATGTGTAAGTCAATGGAAAATGTATTTATAAAGGTTGAAAAGTTCATCTAATAACACGAATGTCAAAGGTTTAGCCAGTTTAATTTAATTTATGTATAGTTACATGAAAACATGTATTCACGCACTTCCCTGTCGTATGTTATGGTGTACTCGTAGTTACAACATTCAAAATTTACCGGAGTGATTAATATATTTAAAAGTTACTAAAACATGTATTATTGTTTCAAATATGTGTGTGTCATATGGTGGAATACAGGTGACATGCTTGGTATTTTCAGCATTGATGTATGTTCATGGAAATTACATTATAACATTCGAAAAGGCCATCTAATTAGATCAAGGTCAAGATAAAATTGTTCGCCTTCGTTTATTTTTAATTTTACTGATCTTTAGCCAGTTATCGAATGAATGGCATTACGTGAATATATTTCTATATATATATATTTCAGAGAAATATTTCCAAAAAGCGTTACATAGTGTCACAAAAACGCATATCATACACTACATTAGCGAGATATTTACATACATACATGTTAGAAAAATCAATATTTATTAGGTTATCGGTTGCCCGATAATTATGCTATTGAAACAGGAATATAAATATGATCCGTGCCGCTTGTGTACAAGTAGACAGCTGATAAATTAATATAAAATTTAATATTTCAACTTGTAAGAAGTAAATTATGTTACATTAAAATCATTTATTCACGCACCTCCCTGTCGTATGTCATGGTGTACTTACAGTAAGTACATTCAAAATGAACCAAAGTGATCACTATATTTAAAACAAAGTAAATATATACTATTGTTTCAAGTATATGTGTGTCATATGGTAGAATTAAAGCGCCAAGGTATGTATGTCCATGTGCAATTGAATTATACAAGTCGAAAAGCTATTATAAAAGTTACACCAAGGCCAAAATAAAATTTTCCACCCTCAGTTGATTTTTAATTTTACTGATATTTGGTCAGTTGTCGAATGAATGGCAAAGACATAAACATATTACTATATATATTCCAGGCAAATGTTCAAAAAAGCGTTACATAGTGTCACAGAAACGCATATCATACACTACATGTGCTCATATTATCAAAATATACATATACTCAATTCAACTAATATTATGATAGAACCAAATGACACTTGATATAAAAATACACACCATTTGAAAGATATTTACATACATAGATTAGTCAATAATTGTTATTTGGTTATCGGTTGCCCACGTAGATACAGTCCAAAGTTATGCTATTGAAACAAGAAGTCCCGTTACATGTAAATATGATCCATACCGCTTGTATATAAGTAAACAGCTGATTAATCAATATAAATATTTCAACTCATAAAAAGTTTAGATGTATTCAATTTATTCGTTTACTAACGCAAATGCATTTTCTTGTCTAGATTTAATAGTTTAGATGGATGACCCTCATTAATGACAGTAAATATTCGGCACTGACGTGGTGAGCGATGAATGGACACGTGTGTTTAGAAAAGTGTATGGGTTCAAATCTTGCCGAAAGAAGAAAAGTGAAGAAAATTATCAAACAGTGAAGATATTATTATAAACACAAAACAAGTATAATATTCTAAACATATATAAAAAAAGTAAGTTACAATATCTTAAATTGTGATTCTACATGCTCATGACAAATGCTTTGATATTAAACTCACCTGCAGCCACATTTTCGTATCGTCTACCACCTAAAGCTGCGTCGTCTGCCGGGAAAAACACTTTTTGTAACAATGTATTGTTGTAAGCTATCATTTGAATATATGCAGATTATAAATGAAATAATATATGACATGGATTGAGAAAAACATAACAGGCCAACAACATAAGGATAACACTTGGCACAACGTTTAGTGCAGCGTTAGTATGTTTAGATCTACTACCATTAAAATTGCTGGCTTAGCTATTAAATACTGACATTTTACTGTTATTTTTTTAAGATGGAAACACATGTTTTGCATCATATTTTAGGCAAACATTATTATTCGAGAATTTATCACATGATTGGTTACTTTTTAGAAAGGGTAGTTTTATTTTATTATTTTCAACAACAATAAACATACGTTATCGTAATTTTACTTTAGTATAATTAAGAAACACACAAATAAATTAAATGTGTATTCACATGTTTCAATATATAGTTAAATAGTTGCCTTTGATTTTTATAAATTTACGAATATGCAAACAGTCAATTTTCGTAAATGTATATGTAGTTTTGTGATTCGTAAAAAACAGATCAAGAATTCCTCCGTGATTGTGAGTTGAAGAAATAGGGCTGTCATTTTCTGGGTTGATTGGTGAAGATCCATATTAAAATCACCACTTATGATTACAGTGTCACAGTCTTTCTGCTCTTGGATTGCTGTGCATTCGCCAAGTAACTGAGTAAATGTTTCTTTTACCACAAACCATGGTCAGCTAGGTGGAACATATATACACACTTTCAGTGTTGTTTTTTTTTCAATTTCGATGATTCCAGAAAACTTGTTCTGTGACAGGTCCGGCAGTATATATTGCACAACCATGATCAGACTTGACTGAAAAATACTAAAATATTTTGCAGATTATATTTGTTTTGTTTGTTAACCTTTGTTTCCGTCAGACAAATTACACCAAATTTGTCTGTAAAAGGATTACTGTTCAAATCTTCATGATGAGATTTTAAAGATCTGATATTAAGATGACTGTTCAAATCTTCATGATGAGATTTTAAAGATCTGATATTAAGATGACTGTTCAAATCTTCATGATGAGATTTTAAAGATCTGATATTAAGATGACTGTTCAAATCTTCATGATGAGATTTTAAAGATCTGATATTAAGATGACCAACAGCCTGAGATTAGTTCGGAACATTGTTAATAGTAGGATACTTATAATTGAGTTGCATTGTTTTCAGTATTCTTTCCATTTCTTTTAATGCAGATTTGTTGACTTTAGTTTTCTTTTCATCAAATCAAATTATAAGTCCAGATTTTGTTTTTACTCTACTGAAGATAGTGTACATCTGACCAGGTTTGGGGGCCTAGTTATAACTGATGTCACCTATCATATATGTCGCCTATCATATGTACTTCCTTGTGATTTGTGAACAGTCATCCCGAATGCCCATGGGTATTGGGTTCTTTCAACTTTGACGGAATGTGTTTTTACAGAATAGAAAAAAAATGACAGTTACAGCTTTTATTGGTACAGACCCTGGGTATTTGTATTCTTTCTGAACTTCTCGTTCTGTGTCCTATTCAATGGATAGCGAGTGTCAATTTCTATACGAGTTATCAGTCCTGTAGCACCATTCACAAGACCATCTAAGATCAGTGTTTTTGGTATGCATATATCCTGCTCCGAATGCAATTTCTATTACAACCCTCAGTCCTGCTGTTTCATGTGGATTTTTGTCAGTTACAACAATTTTTGCTCTTTCTGTAAGCGAATATTTCTTGGTATCCTGTGCATGCATTTCTATAATACTGGCACTACCGGTAATTGCTTTCAGTTGTTTTGTAGTGTATGCATCAACTACTTTGTTAGTTAATTTTGTATTGTTTTCAGTACTTTTCAATAATTCAATATCAGTTTGAGTATGCTGTGCTAATCGTACTCTTGAAAGAATATTTGCAAACTCTGAATCATGTTGTTGTCTCACTATTTATTTTAATTCATGTAGTTTAAATAGGTTTAACCACTGTGATCCAGCCAAAACATTCAAGTTATGTTTATAGGGTTGTGAAACACTGGTCTGTCTCCTACTGGATTCAGTTGTAATAAATCTCCTACTGCTAAAATTGATATGCCACCAAAAGGTCTGTCATCTTCAAAAATGTCTTAAAGTGTTAAATCCAGATTTGATAATGTCTGGCCACCGATCATTGTTATTTCATCCACAATAATTATCTTAAGTGCAATGTACTATGATCTCAGGGTATTTAGGTCTGTGTAGCTGGTTTGCGATATTCATATGATTCACTTGTTCTCCGCACTGGAAGACTGAAAGCACTGTGAAATGTAGTTCCTCCAATGTTCTCTGTTGCTTTACCAGTAGAAACTGTCAAAGTAATTGTTGGTGTGTCAAGACTTTCTCCTTCTCTACGTGATGAGTGAATAGCACTTTGGAATATTGAAAGTACTACATGACTTTTACCTACTCCACCACCGCCAGTAAGAAATACATAAAAAGAATCAGGTGTTGCATTGCCAAAGAATTTAGTTATTCTATATTAAGTGCACCATACATACACAAAATCATGTACAAGTCTTTGTTGTGCATTTAGACTTCGTATTTATTTGTAATACTCATTATCCGACAATATTTTAGCATGTACTGAAACTGATTGCTTGGTATTGGATGGTATATTGGCAACAATAATGTTATCTGGTAAAGACTGATCTGTATCTAAATTAGATTGATCTAGTTATTCATGGTTGATGTCATTTGAACATTCATTATCGTCAGTTTGTTCTGCATGTACAGGTGCCACTGAATCCCACATTTCTTCATTGACGTCATCGGCTTTATGTGCATTCCGATATGCATCTTCCACTTCTTCAATACAGGGTTCAAATATTTTAATTATCTGTCGTAAAGAATCATGAACCTGAAAAAAACTTCGATTCATGGCTATCATTATGCTTAAGTTGGATTCCGATCGCCATGGTAAATATAAGATAATCAATCGATGGTAGTATTTCCCAGGATATTTTTTCTTTGACACATAATAGTAACGAATAACTTATAATAGGTTTTCATCGTTTGTGTAACTAACCAAGCCCATTTAATAGTTTAAAACTGTTATCTGATTCATAGTCTGTTGTGTTACTAACATCATCTGACAGTGTGTCAACAAGTTCTCCATCATCCATTTTTTAAGATTGTGTGTATGTTGAATACATCGATGTAAACTCTGCCAAGCAAATATGCTTGACTAAATGGTCTTGATGCAGAAGTATCTAAAATGCTTATCATGTACACACTTTCATAGTTATCTGCCATTTTTTTCAAGTTCTGATTTACTTTTTAACATCCTCGTTTGGTCTTTTTCATATCCAGTCGGGACATACAATACTGCCGTATTTGTATATTTCAATGGCAAACTAATCAGCCCAGCAATTGCCTCATGCTGAGAAATCTCACGAGACCGTAGGAATACATTGCCAATACATTTGAGTTTGTCAGGTACAGTATCTGCTTGTTGTACTGCATTCTTCATAAGTACTGACATTTCTCTTTCAGGTTTGCACATATATGATGTGATATATGCAATCCATGCGCACACATGTGTTATAAACTGAATATCCATGTTAGATCGAAGAGCTTTTAATATATATGGATTGATATTAGCCTCTACTGGTTTCTTTTTAAAAAAAAAAATTACTGATGTACGCTTTAAGGAACTGTCAAAGCTTTATAGTAGTCTGTCACAGATACATTAGCCTCTATAAACAAATCAGATGTATTTATTTGAGGCCCACTTTTTTCCAAAGTCTCATAACGCTATTCATAACATATTTTGCATGTGAAATAACATCTTTG